ATATTGTGTGTTTGTGGTGGGTGAAGTTTGAAACTCAAACTCTACAAGTCGATATATATTGTGTGTTTGTGGTGGGTGAAGTTTGAAACTCAAACTACACAAGTCGATATATATTGTGTGTTTGTGGTGGGTGAAGTTTGAAACTCAAACTACACAAGTCGATATATATTGTGTGTTTGTGGTGGGTGAAGTTTGAAATTCAAACTACACAAGTCGATATATCGTGTGTGTGTGTGTATCTGTAGTAAAGGTAAGATATATCGTGTGTGTGTGTATCTGTAGTAAAGGTAAGATATATCGTGTGTGTGTGTGTATCTGTAGTAAAGGTAAGATATATCGTGTGTGTGTGTATCTGTAGTAAAGGTAAGATATATCGTGTGTGTGTATCTGTAGTAAAGGTAAGATATATCGTGTGTGTGTATCTGTAGTAAAGGTAAGATATATCGTGTGTGTGCATATCTGTAGTAAAGGTAAGATCTGATATTTTCCAGAAAATTTAACTTTATGTTTTTGAAGAATGTAAATTCTTTAGAGTACAAAGCTTAATTAAGCTATGTAGTGTTAACTGAAACACACTAACAGCGACTTGTCTTCGAAACGAGCTACTGGAATTAATGTCGAGATTAACTACTCTTGTTTGTAAATTCTTAATTTACATTAATACTTACATGATTTTTATAACAACAGTGGTCAATAAATCAATATATATATACTCGCCTATTCATCTTTCTTTATTTTCTTGCTTATAAAAATTCTTTTTTCTCGTGAGAAATTTTTTGTAATACTTGCACTATTGTAAACTTTGTGTTCCAAGGAGAAGCAAACTACCATGCATTAATCTGTTCCTTAGGCGTTTCATTGTATTTCAGCGTGATTCGCTCAAACCGATTCAATATTTATAAACATATGTGGAAAGCTGAATCGTCAGCATAGATTTAAAAAGCATATGATAATTTTAGGTTCTGAATCACCAAGAAACATTCATTTTGTTATATATATTTTTTATATGCAGTTGCAAATGTATGTACATTTATACATATTTATATTTCAGGAGTTATTCGAACCACCAGGCGGCAAATTGATCGGGAAACTCAACAAGAACACGTTTTAGGGGTAAGAAACTAATAAAATCTATACAAATATTGTGTGGAATATTTTATCGTTTTCTGAAATTTAAAAAAATATATATATTAGTGGAACAGTTTTTTCATTTGATGATATCTTTGAGCGACAGTGTGAATTGGTTTATGAATATTAGAATAAAATTGAAATTCCTTCTCTTAGATTTGTGAGCACGTTTTTATTTTGTATCAAATCCTTAAAAGGCATCTCGTCTGTTTTGTTTTGGAAATATCTTCAAATTTATATAAAATCTTATATGTGTTTCTCCTACTGACGTAGCTCAGAGATTTAGAGTAGGAATTAACGCCATATTCTGTTGTTGTTGTTGTGATGGTGGTGGTCCTGTTTACATATCTGGCTTATAAATATGATTTTTGAAATGAATAACAATATTGTAGTTCACACATTTATGATTAGATTTATTTTTTTTACTTCAACAGATAGATAAACGCCAAATGAGATAGAATGTTAAACGGCTAAATAATAACAGAGATAAATGGGTGCATATTTTGAATTACTTACGAATCTTAATGAGCCAATTATTTGAATTAAAAAAAAAAACGAATGGATCAGAAAACGTAAACACACTGACAATCGCGTGTTTAACTGAGGAAATCTTAGATTTGGTACATAGTGTTTCAAAACCAATTATATTCTTCACATATTCCACTAGCCTAGCATTGTTTTTCTTTCTTTGTCTTCCTCCAATACAAGAATGGTGATTTCGATAAAACGTGTCGGTGTACAGGATCGTTGTTCGATCATTGTTAGGCGATGTTATCAAAACAATGACAGTTTTACTTTTGTGGAAAGCCAATTTCAAAGAAGAAATGGATCTCACTTCCTGGCTAGCGAACTCCCCGGATATCCAAACCACAATAGTTTTGGCTATACGATTTCCTCAAACGGGAATGTCCATCGGAATAACCGAAACAATTTATAAGATCTGAAAACGGCCATTAAAAATGAGATTGTGAGAGTCAATGAACAAATGATATTTTCAGAAGTTTCATTTTGGGATAAACATGGTTCGCTGTGACAAGTTTGGAACCAAGCTCAAACGTTTTGTTTGTTTTTGAATTTCGCGCAAAGCTACACGAGGGCTATCTGCGCTAGCCATCCCTAATTTAGCAGTGTAAGACTAGAGGGAAGACAGCTAATCATCACCACCCAGCGCCAGCTCTTGGGGCTACTCTTTTACCAACGAATAGTGGGAATGAGCGTCACATTATAACGCCTCCATGGGTGAAAGGGCGAGCATGTTTGGTGTGACGAGGATTCGAACCCGCGACCCTCAGATTGCGGGTTTTCTACTTTATTTAAGTTTGGCAGATAATTGTCTCTGGATTATACACAAACACACACACTCATGTATATAAGTGGGCTATTTTTATAACAAAAATGGATGAGTAGATTTATGTTATTTATTAAGTTCAGATATAAACGAGTCATTAAATAACTTTTGATGTTATCCGGCTAGACGTTGGTGGTTATAACTTATGGTAAAAATTAAATAAAAAAAACTTTTGTGAGAAAAGTTAAGAATTTTATGGAAACATTAAAGTGATTAGTTATATTAATTTGAATGCCCCCCCCCCCGTGACTATGGTAGACTTTGAGACTGGGTCGCTGTTACAAAGCGCCTTTTGAGATTCAAATATTGTTTTTAAGATTTTGTAATTTATTCAATTCTACAAATAGATAAACGGAAAAAATAATTTGAAGAAGTGCATTAAACTCGTTAGAATGACTTAAATTCTAAACATTTTCTCTTGCTTACCATTAACTAAACAGTTTATGAAGTTGCGAATTATACTTAAATTATAAACATTATATCGTACCTAAATGATTTTGAGAGAGAGAGAGAGGTTAAAATTGATCATGAACGAATGCACGTTCCTACCCTCACTACTTCCCAGGGGGATTCTTTTCTTGTTCCACGTGCCTACCAATGTGTCTTCCTTTTTTATCTTTTGTGTTGTTGTTCAAAGGTTTATGTTA